AAATGGAAATCTGCTATCCTTACATAGTCTGCAGGTGGCACAGAAATATGAATGCCCCCTGAAATGGCCTAGAGAGGGCCTTAAATGCCCTCTGAAATGGCGTAGACAGTGACTCAGTTAAAGGGCATTTACAGAGGGGCAAATAAATGCTGGCCTTGTCCATGGCGCATAAATCCCATGAAAGCATAAACTGTTTCTGCATCGGCTCTCTGAAGGAACTGTCGTACCATTTATGGAGACAAATTGCAATTATAAAATGACAGTTCTATTCATGTTTTCATCAGCCACCTACTGAGATGGTAGAAGGTTAACTAAATGAGATTTTGTTTTGTTGAGTAATTCCTGCATCCTAAAATATTCTTGTATAGGGATGTGGGTGTCGCTAGCCATCCCTAATTGCCCCGAATTGATTGGCTCTCTTGGATATTTCAGAGGGAAGTTAAGGTCTGGAGTCGCATGTAGGCCAGACCAGATAAGGATGGCAGATTTTCTTCCCTAAAGGGCATTAGTAAACTAGGTGGGTTCAGCCTGATAGTTGGCAATGATTACACGGTCATCATTAGACTAGTTTTAAATTCCAGATTTTGTGGAACTCAAATTTCATTATCTGCCGGGTTGAACCCATATCAGAGCTATGGATTACCACCATGCTAACCCACATGGAGAATTAACGGAGGAAAAATAGTTTACTTTCCCTGGCAAGATTTTCTGCACTTTTTTGTAATAATCTGCTCCACCAAGTCCAAGAATAATTACTGTGCAAAGAAAAGTGTCTGTAGCTGTAGACATGAGACTATAACAGAGAGAAATAGACAGAGAGAGACAGCAATATAATAATTAGGAGCTGTCCTTCTCCCTTTGCTAAGTCATAGACTTGTACGTTTTACCTTCAATTCAGTGTCAGGTCCTCAGCTGTAGTTAACCTTTTCTATACAGTAATCACATATTCTAGACTCAATGGAGCTGATTATCACAAAGGATCAAATCAGATGCTGGAAATCTGAAGCAAGCTAAGAAAAATAGTAACACAGACTAGTTCAGGCAGCATTTGCAGAGCAAGCAACAAGCAGTTTGTGACGAAACATAGTTTGGGGCAGCTGTCAAACATGCAAAGTTCCAAAAGACATCCTGTACGCCAAAAGGTGAATTCCGACTGTTTTATTTCTGATGCCTGAGCCAGTGGCAAATCACTTGTTTCAGGCCTTCTCTTGTTGTTACCTTTCATTACTAAGACCATAAGAAATAGTGACATGAGTTGGTCATTCGGCCCCTCGATTCTGCTCCACCATTCAGTAGGATCATGGCTAATCTGACATTCCTCACATCTACTTTTCTGCCCTTTCCCCATAACCCTTGATTCCCCGACTGATCAAGAATCTACCTTTCTTGGCCTTAAACATACACAAGGACACTGCTCCCATTGCTCTCTGTGGCAAAGACTTCCAAAGACTCTCAACTTTTTGAGAGAGGAAATTCCTCCTCATCTCAGTCTTAAAATGGTGCCCCTTTATTCTGAGACTGTCCTAGACTCTCCCATGAGGGAAAACATCCTCACAGCATTTACATTTGCAACTTAGTTCCTGCACAACATTCGAAAATTCATCCAGGTTCCTGAGGCATCACCTTTCAAATCTGTGACCACTTCCATCTAGGAAGACAAGGGCAGTAGATACAAGGGAACATTACCAACTGCAAGTTCCCCTCCAAGCCACTCATCATCTTGACATGGCCATTCTTTGGTGAGTCAAAATCCTGGAATTCCATCCCTGAAATCACTGCAGGGGTATCTATGGACTGTGGCATTTCAAGAACATTAGAAATAGGAGCAGGAGTAGGCCATCCAGCCCCTCGAGCCTGCTCCATCATTCAATAAGATCATGGCTGATCTTTTCATGGACTCAGTTCCACTTATGCCCCTTCTCATCATAATCCTTAATTCCTTTACTATTCAAAAATCTATCTATCTTTGCCTTAAAAACATTCAATGAGGTAGGCTTAACTGCTTCATTGGGCAGGGAATTCCACAGATTCACAACCCTTTGGGTGAACAAGTTCCTCCTCAGCTCTGCCCTAAACCCACTCCCCCCACTTATGTTGAAGCTTTGGCCCCCTCATTCTAGTTTCACCTACCAGTGGAAACACCTCCCTGCTTCTACTTCATCTATTCCCTTCATAATTTGATGAAGACTTTGCTGCCATTTTCATAGGGGCGCTTAGGGATGGGAAATAAATGATGTCCACGTCCCGTGCCTAAAAAGACGTTTTAAACAAGTCAAATCAATCACTTGCTTGTTCTCTCCACAGATGCCACCTGTTGTGTTTTTCCAACATTTTCCGTTTTTGTTTCAATTTACATGTTTTGCAGCCTGTGATGCAAAACCCTTCATTTCTCGTATCAAATTAATTCACACTTTGGCCCCTTGCTCCTTTTTGTTTTAAATAAAGTGCTGCATTGACAAGGTACTTTTGAAACGTCTCTCCACTCTGCCGTTTCACAAAATGTGTGTGGGTAGATGCCTTCTAATCTGAATCAGCGCTGGGATCCCTTTAACCTCAAAGTGAAGGTAAACTGACAGCTGCAATTTTGTCCCCTCGAGAATGCGCTCAGATTAATTCTCCAGTTACTGAGACTGAATTCTCATTGAGTGCTCAGGAAAGGTGTGATTTAATTAATTTTGATGGATATCAGATTATCCGTCAAGGGCATTCTGTGATCGCATTTCATCAGTTGTGCGTTTCTCCTTTCTTTGCTGTAATTTTATCTTCTCCATTGTCCTGACCTGACACTTGCAGACACAAAGACAGTGCATGGCCAATCTGGCTGGCAAGAGTGACCTCCTCCTTCCCAGCTAAGCTTTGACCCTCCCACGTTTTATTGCTCGATGAGAGTATGTAGCTTGAGTTAGCCATTCTGATTTGGATTCGAGGCGGGACTTGTAGCTGTGTCTCTCTCTCCCAGTTCACACCACTGAGCATCCACCCTGCAGCGGTGCAAGAAGGCAGCTCACCATCACCTTCTCAAGGGCAACTAGGGACGGGCAATAAATGCTGGCCCAGGCAGTGACGCCCACAAATGAATTTAAAAGAAGCGAAGACACTGACATTTAGCACGACTGTTGAACACTCACCAATGTCTGGCTTTGCTGGTCCTGCAAATTTTCATGTGAATCGAATGCCAGCTCTCTGGTCAGGATTGAGGACTGGGTAGCGAAGGGTTTCTGCAGCTGCAGACCTGACATTGTAACAGAGACAGAGAGAGGGAGGGAGCACAGACCATGACCCCACCATGGAACAGAAGGTCATTGTGTCCACAATGGCCACTTACTTCATTTCATCTGGCCATATCCCCTCCAAGCTCATCATTCCCCCAACCCCGCACAGCCTGCTTCTACCTTCTTCCCAAGATCTACAAACAGCACTGCCCAGCCAGACCCATTGTTTCTGCCTGCTCCTGCCCCATGGAACTCATCTCTTCCTGCCTCGACTCGATACTTTTCTGCCCTTGTCCAGTCCCTTCCCACTTACATCCATGATTCCTCTGATGCTTTACATCAGTTTCAGAGTTTTCAGTTTGCAGAGACCAGCCGCCTCCAATTTACCACAGGCATGCAATCCCTTCACATGTCCATCCCCCATCAGGATGGTCTCATGGCTCTCCGCTTCTTCCTGGAACAAAGACCTGAACTGTACCCATCCACCACCACACCCCTCCGCCTGGTCGAGCTTATCCTCATCCTGAACAACTTCTCCTTTAATTCCTCTCACTTTCTGCAGATGAAGGGTGTGGCCGTGGGTACCTGCATGGACCCCAGTTCTGCCTGTCTCTTCATGGGGGTGCATGGAATATTCCTTGTTCCAGTCCCATTCCGGCCCCCACCCACAACTCTTCCTCTGGTATATTGATGACATCATTGGTGCTGCTTCCCTCTCTGGTCTGGAATTGGAAAAGTTTATCAATTTCGCTTCTAACTTCCACCCGACTCTCACCTTCACCTGTTCCATCTCTGTCTCCTCGCTTCCCTTCCTTAGCATCTCTGTTTCCATTTCTGGGGATAGGCTGGCCACCAATAGCCATGACAAACCCATTGATTCCCACAGTTACCCTCACTATGAGTCATCACATCCTGCTTCCTGTAAAGACTCTATTCCAGTTCGTCTGTCTCCGTCACGTCTGTTCTGATGGTGCCGACTTCCACGATGTTGGATGTGGGTGGCGAGGCCACCCCAAAACATCCACCTTCTCCCTCAACTGAGGATTCCACAGCACCATTGTTGGCAGGGTCCTCATCTGGGTCTGATTCATCTCCCACACTTCCACCCTCACCTTCTCTCTTCCCTTCCACAACTGCGATAGAGTTTCCTTGTCCTTACCTACCTTCCCACCGGCATCCACATCCAGAAGATCATCAAATGCCATTTCCACCACCTCCAGCGAAATGCAACCACAAGATTCATATTCCCCTCCCCTCCCCTGTCAGCATTCCACAGGTATCGTTCCCTTCGGGACACCCTGGCCCACTCCTCCTTCATTCCCAATGCCTCCCCACAGCCCCACGACACCTACCCCTGCAACTGCAGAAGGTGTAACACCTACCCATTTACCTCCTCCCTCCCCACTATCCAAGGGCCCAAACATACCTTCCAGGTGAAGCAGCACTTTACCTGCACTTCCCACAATCTAGTCTACTGCATTCGCTGCTCACAATGTGATCTCCTCCACATTGGGGAAACAAGCATAGACTGGGTGACTGCTTCATAGAACACCTACGTTCTATCTGCAAAAAAAGACCCTGAACTTCCAGTTGCCTGCCACTTCAACACACCACCATATTTCCTGGCCAACATCTCAGGTTTGCTGCAGTGCTCCGGTGAAGCTCAGTGCAAGCTGGAAGAACACCACCTTATTTGCTGCTTGGGAACTCTACAGCCTTCTGGACAAAATTAAAACTGAAAGAACTGCGGATGCTGTAAGTCAAGAACAAAAACAGAAGTTGCTGGAAGCTCAGCAGGTCTGGCAGCATCTGTGAAGAAAAAATCACAGCTAATGTCTTGGTCCAGTAACCCTTCCTCAGAACTCTACAGAGTGTGGAAAGAATCTGTTCGGCCCATCGAGTCTGCACCTGCCCTTCCACCTAGCCCTACTCCCTATCCCTGTAACCCACATTTCCCACGGCTAATCCACCAAACCTTCACATCTCTGGACACTATGGGCAATTTAGCATGGCCAATCTACCTAACCTGCACATCTTTGGACTGTGGGAGGAAACCAGAGCACCTGGAGGAAATCCACGCAGACTGTGCAAACTCCACACAGTCGCCCAAGCCGAGGATTGAACCTGGGTCCCTGCCACTGTGAGGCAGCAATGCTAACTACTGAGCAACCATGCAACCCTTATCTCAAACCAAAAAGGGAACTTAACTTTTTATTAAAGTCAGTTGACAGATTAAGGTTGGCCAGGACACCTCATTGGCTCTGTTCTGAGGAAGGGTCACCGGACCCGAAACATTATCTCTGATTTTTTTCTTCACAGATGCTGAGCTTCCAGCAACTTCTGTTTTTGCTTCTGGACTTAATATTGAGTTCAACAGTTTTAGGGCCTGAGGCATGTTCTCCCTGATCCTAACCCCCACACACCAGACCATGTCATCACATGGTCTGCTACCACAACCATCCCATTGTCAATCACTAATGGTCCCCATTAGTAGCTATTCATTCTCCCAGGTTAACCTTTAACCACACTTTGTCCAACTGTTTTCTCTCTCTTTGGGCTCTATCTCCACGTATCGTTTAGTCTCCTCCTCTCCCCAACTTCTATATAAAAACCATCCTTTTCCTAGCTACCATCAGTTCTGAGGAAGGGTCACTGGATCTGAAGTGTTAACTCTGATATCTCTCCACAGATGCTGCCAGACTGACTGAGACTTTTAGCAATTTCTGCTTTTGTTACAGAAATATTCTAACTAGGAAACATCCTGCCCCTGTCGCTAAGTCATTTACTTGCACGTTTTACCTTCAATTCAGTGTCAGGTCCTCAGCTGCAGTTAACCTTTTCTATACAACAGTCACATATTCTAGACTCAATGGAGCTGATTATCACAAAGGATCAAATCAGATGCTGGAAATCTGAAGCAAGCTAATAAAAATAGTAACACAGACTAGTTCAGGCAGCATCTGCAGAGAAATCAGCCAGAGCAGGCTGAGGCCAAAACATTGAATGTTTTCAAGAGGGGGTTAGATATAGTTCTCAGGGCTAAAGGGATCAAAGAGTAAAGTGGGATCAAAGGATCAGCCATGATTATATTGAATGGTGGAAGAGTTTTGAAGGGCCGAATGGCCTACTCTTACTCCTAAGTTTCTATGATGTGGAGGTGCTGATGTTGGACTGGGGTGGACAAAGTCAGAAATCACACGGCATCAGGTTATAGTCCAACAGGTTTATTTGAAATCACAAGCTTTCGAAGTGCTGCTCCTTCGTCACCTTGGACTACAACCTGGTGTCGTGTGCCTTCCATCTAAGTTTCTTACACATTACGATTTTTTACAGACAACGATCTCTTGTGACAACTATTTGTGTGTCGTAGGCGTGTCACTTCTGTTTTGGGTTGTGTAGGTACCTGGCAATTCGATATCCTCTCCGATCGAGGGAGCTCCGCACTCCCTGCAATGCCGTTACTGTCATGGCGGTGATCTGGGGACTTTCCATCGTCTTCGCTGGGCCCTATCTGAGCTACTATGACCTCATCCCCTACGAGTGGTTCTACATCTGCATGCCTGCATGGGAGGAACCAAAAAGGAAAATCATGGATACCTCCACTTTCATATTTGGATATATAGTCCCAGTCGCGGTTATAAGCCTGAGTTATGCTAGGACCATCAAGTATCTCTGGACAACAGTGGACCCAATAGAAAACATATCTGAATCCAGGAAATCCAAGAGAAAGGTCACCAAGATGATTATCATTGTGACTGTGTTGTTCTGTCTCTGTTGGCTCCCTCACCATGTTCTCATCCTGTGTTTCCACTATGGCCACTTCCCCTTCAATCAGGCCACCTACGCCCTCAGGCTGTTGTCTCACTGCATGGCCTACACCAACTCCTGCCTCAACCCCATCGTTTACGCCCTGGTCTCCAAACACTTCCGCAAAGGTTTCAAGAAGGTCTTCAGCTGCCTGCTGAGCAAGAAAGCAATGAACAAGGTCCACGTGGTCCACATTGTGAACATGGTCACCGGCTCCACAGAGGTCACGCGCCTGAACGAGGAAGACGGGAGGCAGCGGGGCTGTGAGCTCACCAATAGGCAACTCTCCAAGCAACCTGCTTCAGCAATGACCATCACAGTGCCGTACCAGCAGAAATCTTGAACGCTGTCTCAAAGGAATTCATTCACTTCCAGCTAACTCTCTGATTTCTGTGTCCTCTCCTTAGATTACTTAGTCCCTATGTTAGTTATCGATGTGTAGGTGTAAGCAGGCTACTACCTAAAAGAGAAACGAAACAATGGACCATTACCTTACTTTACTGAAATGTCAGCTATAACAGTCACTGCCGAAAACGGAATAACAGAAACATCCCTGGCACCTTAGGACGTTACTTAGTTAGAAACTGGGTCGAGGTTAGGGAGGAGCTGATTGAAGATCAGGTCAAGGATGAAGGAAGAACTTATAAATTTGTGAAATCCCTTCAATTCCTTCCCTAACCCTGACTCTGACCCCTAACCCTTCCCTAACCCCACTCGAAGTCCATGTGGTTCATATTGTAACATGGATACCAGCTTCACAGGTGTAATGATGGAAACAGGAGGCAACGAAATGAACAATTAGGTCAGTCTGGAATCTCCACAGTGTGGAAAGACCAGTTCAGCCCATCGAGTCTACACCAACCCTCCCACCTAGCCCACTCCCTATCCCTGTCACCCATGGCTAACCCACCTAACCTTCACATCCCTGGACACTATGGGCAATTTAGCATGACCAATCCAACTACCCCACACGTGTTTGGACTGTGGGAGGAAACCAGAGCACACGGAGGAAACCCACACAGACTGTGCACACTTCACACAGACAGTCGCCCAAGGTGAAGATCGAACCTGGGTCCCTGCCACTGTGAGGCAGCAATGCTAACTACTGATCCACCATGCAACCCTTATCTCAAACTGAAAAGGGAACTTAACTTTTTATTAAAGTCGTTTGACAGATTAAGGTTGGCCAGGACGCCTCATTGGCTCTTCCAAGTGAGATCTTGTGCAGTCACAGAAAAGGGCAGATCTGAGACATATTGAAAGCTCCATCAGAAAGACGGTGTCTACAACAGGGCAGCTCTCCCCTTAACTGCAGTAGAGGGTCAAGTTGGATTGCACCTCTGCAGGGGGCTGATGGCTCAAACCCACACCCTTTGACTCAGAGGCAAGACTGCTGCCCCCGAACCAAGGCTGACACTCAAGCTAAACTTGATGAGCCAAACTTTCCAAACTTGGGAATTGGGGTGTGGGGAACATGTGATATGATGAGATTCATGTGACTAATTGTACATCGCTTAGAGAGATGAGCATGTTATAGAGTTATAGAGTCCTCCTCACATGGAAGGAGACCACTCTGCCCATCAGATCTATGATAGCTCTCTGTGGAGCAATCCAGTCAGCTCCATTCCCACCATTCTGTCCCCAAAGTCCTTCAAGACTGCCCATCCAATTTCCCTTCGAAATTATTCATCCTCTCCACTTCCATTCTCCTTGCTGCCAGCAAATTTCAGATCATTACAACTTGCTGCATCAAAATATTATCCCTCATACTCTCAACCAACCCACATGGGTCAGTTTAGCTCAGTTAGCTGGATAATTGGTTTGCGAAGCAGTGCGATGCCAGCAGCATGGGTTCAATTCCCATCATTGGCTGAGGTTACCATGAAGGACTCTCCTTCTCAACCTCTCCCCTCACCTGAGGCATGGTGACCCTCTAGTTAAACCACCTCCAGTCATGTCATGCGCACTCTCTCTCATGAGAGAGCAGCCCAATGGCCTGGTAAGACTATAATGACTCAACAACAACAACCCAATGCCTATTATCAGTGGCTCAGTGGTTAGCACTGTTGCCTCACAGTGCCAGGGACCCACATTTGATTCCACCCTCGGGTGACTTTTTGTGTGGAGTTTGCACATTCTCCCCATGTCTGCATGGGTTTCCTCCGGGTGCTCCAGTTTCCTCCCACAGTCCAAAGATGTGCAGGCTGGATGGATTGGCCATGCTAAATTGCCCATAGTGCTCAGGAATTTGTAGCTTGGGCAAGTTATAGGGGGATGGGTCTGGGTGGGATGCTCCTGAGGGTCGGTGTGGATTGGTTGGGCCGAAGGGCCTGTTTCCACACTGTAGGGATTCTATGATCTATGTGAGGAGAGAGGTCTGAGACACTGCAGTCCAGAGCTGTATTTGTGAACCTACAAAGCACTGATATAAATAAAGGAGTTGAAGAGCTGTACTTAGAGATAAGAGGCACGCCACCCTCAGGGTATGTGTTATAGCCCAGAAGTTCTCCAGACCAAACTCTTAATTTGCAGATAAAAGGTTAGGCCTGCAGCACAAGATAAAGCAGACAGCTCAGTGGAAGAGAACAAAGGAAACAAAGATGTGAATATTTGCCCAAAAATGGTGTACGTGGAGGAAGCGAGGCACATTACAGAGACAGAGTGGAGGTTCTGAGTTGGGAAATGAGTGACACAGATGTTGAAGAGTTTGACTTAGCTGAGGAGGAGTTTGTAAACCAGCCTGAAGAATTTGGAATCTATGTGTTTGGAGATCAGGATAGTCCCAGAGGACCACAGGGCTGTTATTTCATATGAAAAAGATGACTTGGAGTGAGTTTAACCTCAGGCGAAGGTTAAAGCTGAGCTGGTAGCCTCAGGCGATCACAGAATCATAGAATCCCTACAGTGTGGAAACAGGCCCTTCGGCCCAACAAGTCCATGATGTGGGAATTAAACCTATGCTATGGGTGTGCGGGCTCAGTGAAGGACTGTGCTGATGGAAGTGGTGGGCTTGTTATAGAAAGAGAAAGGACATTCCTATTAAAAATGACCCGTGTGTCTGTCAGTGTCAGACAGAGTAAATGTTAAGTTTTCCATCACCCACTGCTGCCAACAGCACAGCTCATTGCTTATGTGTCTGTTGCTGACATACTGTTATATTTGGAAGAAAAAGCACAAAACATTGGGAAGAAAATGATTGTAGCAGAAATTCATGCAAATACGGACAATGATTAAATGTGACATTTAAATGAGCCCATCCTGCCCTCTCAGAATAGCCTTTCTCCTCTCTCTCTCTCTCACTCTTTCCATTTTAATGACGTGTATTATTTATTCCTCTAGGTTCCACTCAATTTACAGCCAATTCCCACCTCACAGAGGGCTGGCACTTTGGAGAATCTCTTTGTAACAACTCACACTGCTACCACATTCAACCCCAACATTATTCAGCAGCAAATTGCCAAACGTCAAAGAGGGCAAGGGGTGAAATTTGAAATTTAGATGTGGGCATTGCAAGGGCACCTCTGTGATGAGGGCAGCTCTCTAACTGCCAACTGTTCGCTTGTTTCAATGATTCCTGTATCCAGACAGCACCCTCGATATTGTCAGTCTAACACACAGACAATACATGAACGCAGTGGCACAAGAATTCCGATTAACCTCACACGGTTAATGAATGCATCTTTTCTTTCTTGCTTCTCAACTGGAGTCAGTGGCAAAGCCAGAATTTGTTGCTCATGAACTGATGGGCTCTCTAGGCCTTTCCAGAGGAGTCAACCACTTTGCTGTGGGCTTGGAGTCACATGGAGGCCAGACCAGGTAAGAGAGCCGATTTTCTTCCCTAAAGGACTTAGTGAGCAAGGTCAGTTTGTTTTATAACAAGGGTCATCATTGGGTTAGCTAATCATTCCAGATATTGAATTGAATTGAATTTTCACTATCTGCTGTGGTGGGTTTTCAACTAGTTGGAGAATATGGTATCTCCATAGCTAATGGGAGGTGGTGACGTAGTCATAATGTCAGTGAAGTGGTGGTCCAGAGGCCCAGACTAATGTTCTGGGAGATGTTAGAACTGCTGAAAAATTCAAGGCTAAACAGCAATAGTCTCGGTAATGGTTCCGTGAAAGTATCATCCATTGTTGGTTGACTCTTAACTGCTTTCTGACATGGATGGGCAAGGCAGTTGGTTCAATAGCAATGGGGAATGGGCAACATTGGCCTTTCCACCAATGCCCACATCCCATGATGATGAAGAGTAAAGGGAAAAGACCTAATCCCCCTTGTGACACCCCACCCCCACTCATCCTTACCCTCTTCTTCTGTCACTGGTGGAATTATCTTTATTCGTTCACAGGATGTGTGTGTTGATGGCTGGGCAGCATTTATTGCCCATCCCTAATTGCCCAGAGAGTAGTTAAGAGTCAACCACATTGCTGTGGGTCTGGAGTCACATGTAGGCTGGACCAGGTTAGAATGGCAGTTTCCTTACCTAAAGGATAGTAGTGATCCAGATGGATTTTGATTCACGGTCATCATTAGATTCTTAATTCCAGACATTTATTGAATTCAATTTCCACTATCTGCCATGGCAGGATTTGAACCTGGGTCCCCAGAATGTTATCTGTGTCTCTGGATTAATAGTCCAGCTATAATACCACTAGGCCATTGCCTCCCCTTATGCCCCTTTAAACTCCCCCAAGACTGGCAAACTGCATTAGCCTAGTGCCCTTCTCATTAGAGATGCTGAGAAAGTGCAGCCTGATAAGGAAGCAACAGACACAAATGCCATCAGTTGACTTTCCACTTGCAGGTACCAGCTCAGACAGCAACACAGGACAGTGAGGTCTAGATGTGGCATCAAGTACATGGGCACAAGTAACAGCTGGCAGCTAGGTTTGGGTGGGCGATAGTAAGGATAGAGTACCCAAATAGCTTTACTCTGTATCTAACCCCATGCTGATCCTATCCTGGAAATGTTTGATGGGGACTCTGTCAAGGGAACTTTACTTTCATTTTGAAAGAGTAGAGGGAATGTTACTTTCAATTTACCTTTAGTGCAAAGAGTGAAGGAAGCCTTACTCTGTATTTAACCCTGTGCTGTCCCTGTCCTGGGAGTTTTTGTGATGGAGATGGCGTTGACAGAACTTTATTTTTCGTTTCCTTTTAAAAGAGTAGAACACATCTTCATACCTATGAATTAGGAGCCGGCCACTCGCTCCCTTTAGCCTCCCTTTATAAATTGTGGTTGACCTGATTATGAATTTACTTCTATCTACCTGTTTACTCCCAGTGTGCTTTGCCTTTGCCAAGGTGATGGCATATAGAACCAAGTCTCTGACAGCCAGA